ACACCAGTACACCTCTAAGAAGAGGGACATTTAGGCAAAGAGTCACATGGAAAGACTATGTTGTGACGGAGGCAGCAATAAGACTGATGCCCAGATGGCAAGTGACCCCCAGAATTAGGAGAGTCTCGGATGGATTATCTATCCTTCATTGTTTCCAGAAGGAATCATCTGTCAGAATAGTGATTTCACACAGTTGACTAGGAGTCAATCTCTGTCATTCAAACTGCCAGGCTGTGGCTACCTTGTGGCTCCATCCTTGGGAAGTAACATGGTGCCTGCTCCAGGAAAACATCAATATTCCCAATAAACATCCAGCAGTTTGGGAATCACGCTGCAGCTAACTGAAGTAAGTTCGATTTCATATTATGTGAAAGTAATCCTTGGATTTGAATATGGAGCTTTATAAAGCTGTAGTTATGCTGGTTTCCCTTTACTCGGGTCGATGTCAGTGCAGTGTTAGATGATAGGATCATACTTCCCGTCCAGCCTTCTGGTGCGGAGGTTTCCAGCAGAGGACAACCGGACTTGCCTGCCTCTCACTTGGACAGAAATGTGTGTGTACTGCAAATTAATGTGGCGAATGAACAAATACACGATACCTACAAAGAAATAAAAACAGAGAGAAACACGGCACAAATATTTTCTACGTAACTAAAATATTAACCATCTTGTGACTTTAATGCACTCAAGGCATTGCAACTCAAGTGTGACTTGCTTTGAAACTAATATGTGTGACCACCAGGGGTAAGTAGTGAAGATGTCCATGAGAAAGGCTTCCTAGGTTCACATTTTACTATAGGTGCATAAAATTCCGAGTATTTTTTTAAAATTTATTTTGTTTTGTTTTGTTTTTGTCAGATTCAGACTCATTGGAGTTTGGCTTCTGTTTTGAACAAAGACGTGGTCTCTCACCCCTGATAATTCATTTCTAATTGTCATGACAGTGTGACATTCTCCAGCATGTCACACAAATACATGACATAAGATGATTAATGCAAATATATGAACCAAAAAGCCCTCAGGTGGTTGTTAATTTTTGGCGCCGTGTGAATAAACTAGTTTTTTTTTAAATGTTATCTTTTGCCAGCATCTAATTAGCAGAGCCATCTGCTGAAAGAGCAGTGGCCCAGCTGCCTGGAATGTTGTTCTCTTCATTTTTATGAAAACTCTCTCCCATCGTGAGCCCCCGTCTAATTAACTTCTCTAGCCGTGGAATGTGATGATATTACACAGTTCTATTTATGTACTTCTGAGAACTGTGGATGTATATGTGTGTACTATGTACATAAAAATATCTCAGCTCTTTTTCTTTGTAGCATCAGAATTACTCCTGAAATCAGAGCCCCATTTATCCTAACTGGAACCTGTCTGGGTCCAGGGGCAGAACAGTGGGGCGTGGCTCATTTAATGACACACACACAATAGGTACTGCCTCGGGTCTCTGGGACTTCTGAAGATATAAAAGGGCTTTTCTGTGAGCCTGCTCTGCCTGCGACTGTGTCACAATGATTGTCACTTCCTGAAAGTTGGGATGCTCTAAGTCTGAGGCTACGTCAGAAATAACGTAGCATATAGCTGTAGTAACAAGGAAAACAAACACTGTTGTCTTCTTAAAATTCACATGATGCTGGCTTAGAGTCATTTGATACTCTTGCATATTTTATTGCAAAATAATATCTGATCTGATTTGCATTTCTCAAATGACCATTAATGTTGAAAAATTCTTCATGGATTTGTACACTTGTTGTCTATGTATGTTTTCCCTTCTATCAGTTATCTAAGAGAATATCTTGTACCTGGACGATTCTTAGTAGTCATTAAGTAAAAGAGAGAAGAAATGCATGGGAGTAAATCAAATCTTCTATACGTGGTTCAGAGCACAGATAGATTTGTTATGCATTTACCAAAAAAAAAAAAAAAAAAAAAAAAAAAAAAAACCACAGGCTGCGGTCAGGAATCCTTGTGTCATTTTAACTATAGTTTTTCAGACTTCTTACCTACTACAATTACAGTTTGAATACCCTGGTAAGCACACTCTTCTTACCTGTGCCTGCTGCTCAAATATATAATGAATAGTAAATGTTGAATTGAATAAGAATAAATAGTTCTTTGCTCTCCTGGACTATCATGCAGCAGAAAAGAGACAAAGGATGACAAACATTCAAGATTTCTTTAGAAAAGAAGACACAGGAATTAAGACAGAGTTGAGCTGAGATGTAAAATGTAGAATACCTTCGTACTTGTGTTGACTGTTCCAAAGATAGTGTGGGTGGCAGAAATGTGCAGAAATAAATTTGAAGGCAAGTCAGAAAAATGGCTTCTCAAGTCAATAACTAGGTTTTGTCCAATATTATACTATAGGAAAGATAATGCATGTGACAGAACAGGATCGCTTGATTGAAAGTCATTTAAGTGATTAGCATTGATCTAATGGAATAAAGACATTTATGAACAGGCTTACAAGAACAGCTAAACTCAACAGAAGCATGGAGAGCAAGGGTAAGGAGGCGCAGCTGGTGTCTGTGTGTGTTCTCTGTGAAGCACTGTCCCCCATAGCTTTGGCAGTAACCCAGTGGGCCAAGGCTCATTCACAGGTAAAATAACAACACGGAAGCTCTCAGTTCTAGGGGAATCTGGCAAAGTCGCTTTCTCTCACTTAGATCTATTTACCATTTTGTCATAGTCTGGGCATTCACCCTACTATTATCTGCAATCGATAGAATTCTTTCCTTAGTATAAAATTGTTCTTCATTCTGTCTTTTATTCCAGTAGATTGTGAACCCACAGAAAAACTTATACAGTCATAATTAACTCTGGATTTGAATGTTATTGGCATGCCAGTGACACTGTAATAAAAATGCCGCAGAAAAGTAACTTTTCACTTTTAGTAATTGTCTTTGGAAAAACCGATTTTCGGTTTGTCTAATAAACTTGGGTGAGCAGTTGCTGTGTTTTAGTAAGCTGGATAAAACAAAGGATATTGATAAAAACTCTCGCTTTCTTCTTTCATTACTTTTCTCTTCCAGTCTTTTGGCAGCATTTATCTTGAGAATGTGAAGGCTACTTGCACTTAGACTTGTGAAGCCATTTGCTTGCCTTTGTCAGCCGCTGGACCTAAACAGCTTTGATGGCATGTGACAAGCATTCTTGCCCCTAAGCTCGAGACTGACCCTGCTCCTCCTAGCTCTTGTGTTTCCTGAAAGACTCTTAGTATTTAACTTGTAACAAAATCTCTGCACCCTGAGGACCATTGGGGATGCCTCTTTAGCTAAAGTATTTCACTGTATGATTTTCCTAGTAATGATAGTACATCCATCCCTCTTTGTGATCTGTAACACTGAGTCCTCTGGGATATAAAATAAAAGTAACGATGAGATCTGTTCCTCTAAGAGAATATGTCATAGGAAACATCAATCCTAATTCAAGTGGAGGGCGAAGCGATGGATGTCGTTACTTAAACCAAAACAGCAGAGTGAGGCTTTATGAAATACTGAAGGAAGGAAGGTGCTGGTGGTCAACTCACAGCCACACAGTGCATCTATTTCCATTTATCTATCTGCACTGAATGGGGTTTAGAGACCCTGCTATATGTGAAGCTTTCACCTCTGGAGTGGCATCACTTTTCATTAAAGTGTTTGCCATCCTGGGTGGAATTCAGATACTGATTATCTGTTACATCTCTGTTGCCCTCAAGATTTATGTACAAGAAAACAGAACAGAAGGAACAAATTCTCTTATCGGATAAAACCCTTGCAGTGGGCACAAAGGAGAAAAGTAACAATATTGTTTCTGTTTAAAAGACATGAAGCTGTTCTTTCTGGGATACTTTTCTTAAGGACCTGTGTTTGCTAAGTAAGATAATTTAGCCAAGTTATGTAGTGCATAATGACTTAATCTGTTATGTAACATTCTTTAGAGGACTGAAGATTTTAGGAAAGTGTTTTTTAACCTGTCTTTATTATTCTCCCAAATGTAGGTGAAGAAATCATACTAGTAAACAAGGATAAAACCAAGATTTCCTCCACATTGTTTGACATTAACCTACCTTAGATTTAGTTTTAATTGCTGTTATTCCAAATGAATAAATATCTGCAGCACAAACAATTTTCTATTGCAACTTAACTGGTAAACAGCTCAGATTCTTCACAAATGCAGTTCTGGAAGTAAGATGAAAAATAATTGCAATAGCATGTGAAGAAGTGGAGAAAACATTTTATCCTGTAAAATCCTAGCTAGCAGACAATAACAGGAAAGAAAAGTAAGTCAGTCCTCTGCATTACTCAGCGAGATTTGCAGTAGCCATAGCCATTGTGCTCAGGTAACATGCATCCCTGAGGAGGAAGCACTGTTTGCTGTCTTAACTAATCACCCAGCCTGTTTGCGATTTCTGATGTGAAAATGCACGTGTCACACTGGCTAGCACGAGTCAGCTTTAGAAAAATCTGAGAAAAAGTAGTTGAAAATGGTGGCTCTAAATGTTTCACCTGAGCTGAGACTGGCATGAAAATTGCTGGTGGGAGGAGACGTGATAGAGTTATTCTATGCACGCGCCGTTTAGATGTGTTTGTGTGTGTGCATTGGGTGGTCAGGATAATCAGCCGCTCTTCCTTCACTGTCTGTGAATACTAGAGAGCAGCACACCGTTACCGGGAACTCCACTGCCTTAGGTGGACATTGACAGAGTTGGGCTTCTAGGCCCCTGCTTCCACCTGTGCTGGGTCTGTGTGTCCTCTTGGTTTCCCACTGGAGTGACCTGCTCCTGACAGTAACTAAGTGTCCTAGGACTGTGATTCCTAAAAGGCAGGTGCTCAGGGGGTGAGTCATTCAAATGCCTGGGCTTTAAACCCAAAAGCTCGGCCCTGACATCTCGTGTATCTGGTGTGGAAGGGTGGGGTCTAGGGCGTCGCACCATGGTGCCCGCTGCTGGCAGCGTGCTCTGCTGTTTTCCCTTCTGCTGCATCGAAGCCCTAACAGTTGTGTCGCTTTGGTGTTTCGTGCAGGCTGTGCAGTGGGAGTGTGACGAGGTGACCAAGAAGGCCTGCTTCAGCAAGGGCAAATCGAAGGTAAGAAGGCGGCGGGGACGCATGGTCACTGCCGCCATGTCCAGGGGCTGCGTGTGAAACGGTTTAATGCCTGACCCCGTGATGCCTCACAAAGATGAAAAAGCCTTGTTCAGCATAGGCGCATGGCAAACTCCCAAGCATTAACAATCGGTGGGAATTAACCAGCAGTCAGCCTTTATCAAAGAGGATCAGGACAGAAGATGGAATCTCACCTGTGCCTTCAGTCATCAGACTCAGAGATTGTCATCAGCTGATACTGACTGCCTGGGGCATTATTTCCTAAACTATGGTGGGCATGGATTTTATTGGATTTATCAGTGCTAACTACCCAAAGTAACTACAAGAAAAATAAAATTATAATATCAAAATAATGTGAAGGAAGCCTTTATAATTTATCTAACGTATCTTTTAAAACAGCTCTTTCATTTTTGATGCTGAAAATCCACTTGTCATGCACCCCCTGGGCCCACTTTCTCACAGCTAAGGGGCTTGGACAGCAATCCATCTTTCCTGTCCAGGAAGTCTGTATCACACAATCAAGAAATGCGGTGCACGGTTAAGTTTAAAATAATGTATTACAGTAAAAGACACTTGGCTGTTAACCCGTCTCAAAAGCCTGCTCCTTACTTTGAACACACTTGCCCACCACTCTTGCCACTTTCTGCAGCTTTTCTGGAAGTCCTCTTTCAGGAGTGTCTCGGGTTGTGATGTCCCACCAAGACCTGAATCAGTTAGATTTGTATGGATCATGATGGGAAGGGCCTTTTTCCCCATCTGCTGGCATGATTCGCTGCTGCACTGCACTGGCCTCCTTCTCAGGGTCAGCCCTCATGGCGTACCTGGCCCCGTGACCCTGGCGTCTTCCAGGGGACCTTGGCACTGACCCATGACCTGGTTCCACCTTCTCCTTCCACGTGCTTCTCAACTCTCTTTCTCTCCTTTCCCCACTTGTCTTTATTTGCCATTTGGTGCTTTGTTCTTTCTTCCTTCCTGGGCTTTAGGGCTGTTGTTTTGGTTACTTTTTTCTCATTGCTGGGACAAAATACCCAACACCCAAAATAAAGGAAGGAAAGGTTTATTTAGCTCACAGTTTGTGGCGGTTTCACTCCATACTCAGCTGGCTCCAAGGCAGGGTGGTGTGGCAGAGGTTCAACACTTCCAGGCAGCAGCCAGCAAACAGCCAGAGAAAGAGGTGAGAACAAGCACCCTCTCCTCCCTTATATTGTAAGCAGGCTGTCCTCAACCAGGGCCGGTGTGTCTCTCAAACCACCTCTGTGCCCTCCTCTTGCACAGGATGAGGATATTTACAAAGTAAGAATTCCAGCCTCCTGCTGAGTCTTTAGTTAAATTTCTAAAGTGCTCAAGTGTATGAACCATAAAAGGTGTACAGCAAGGCCTGCTGGGTTGGGGGGCTCCCGTGTGGTGACACCACTCTCGTTGTATGAATTGTGTGATCGCTTGTCCCAGAGCCGAGTAGCCTGTATGCTGCTTCCTTCCTGCAGAGTCTACACCATTCCCCCTCTGCCTCATTACCCGCCTTGCCTCTCAGGACACCCACACTGCATCAGTCAGATCGCAGGAGCCATTTTTCCTTGCCCCGTCACCCTGCATGGTGATTAACCAGCCCTGGACGGGATGGTCCCTTGTTGCTACATGTCTTGTATTTCCTCTTAAGCCCAGGTGGGTGTGGTGGCAGCTCACCTGTACGGAATGGCAGAGCAAACATTCCAGCAGCACAGTGCTGATGCCAGAGGCAGGAGCATTCTGTGTCCTGCGCACCATGCTGTGCATTGCGGGACGTCTAGCAGCTTCCCTGGCCTCCGCCCACTGGGGCGTGACAGCCACACACATCCACAGCTGGCCCCTGGCCTCCCAGACATTGACCTGGATGAGAATCCACTTCAGGTTCTAAAATGCTGCACGTATAGGCAGGTTTCTCATCTCTACTCGAGATGGTTTTTATGGCTTTTCTGCATCACACATTTATTTCACAGTGTTTCCAGAGCTAGCAGGACAGAAGTTCCTTCCCCTACCCCTGTGGGGGCTTCAGTCTCTGTGTGCTGCTTGAGTTTTAAAGGGAAACACCTGACTACTTAATCTAGCCCACGTTCTTCCTCCGCGTACTCCGCCAGCACTCATTTACAGCATCTGCTGGTTCCCTTTTCCTCGTATACTATTCCTGTTTCAAGAGGAGCTTTGCTCCTGCTGAATCACAACTGGCTTGTGTTTGACTTTATCCTGAGATCACTTCTGGTCTGGAAGTTAGAAATTAAGCAGCCTAAATCCATAGCACTGGAAAAGACCACTGTTCCTGCTGCTGTGTGATATGCCCTTCATTTAACTGAGAGGATCAATTGTCACTACACTTAATTGAGTTTGTCCTGTTACAAAGAAAGAAAATGAGGACAACAAATGTAAAGCAGAATCATACATTTAAGATGCAAACAGGTTTTGGTCTTAACATGAAGAATGAGAACAAAGCTTAGTAATTATAAATTGATTCAGACTTTGTGGGCCAAATTTTTTAAGACAAATACCTAACGGCAAACGAAGATGAATGTTTGGTACCAAGGACACTGAGAAAGATAGATCACATTTCCTTTTCAGTTGCATTAAGTATATTGATAAATGCTCCTGCAGCTGTAAGTAGCCGGTGGTCCTGGGAGACAGAACTTGGTGGATGTAGAGAGCGTGTGGGGGGGAAGCTCCTGTGTGCAGACTGAAGCAGGAGCTTTGCAAAGGTGCTGGTCCAGCAGCACCGCACCTGCTCTGTGGGATGACGGCAGAGGGCCCTGTGGCCTTTTCTGCAAGTCCCTTCCTTATTCATCTCTTTTGCCTTCTTAAAATGGTCACTATGGTGACCTCCACGTAAGGGCCCAAAGGCCAGCTCCAAGGTCAGAAGAGAGAAGCTGTGCAGGCCCTCCACAGAAGAAAAGCCCTGCCTAACATAGCCTCTTCAGGGCTGCCCCCAAATTCAGATTTTGAACACCCTAATTCTCCTGTCCCCAAGGCTCTTAGAGACCAAATCAGATAACACTTTACACAGAATTTGCAAGAAACAAAATTTTTCCTTGGAGGAGTGGAATTCGGGTTTGCTTATTGGTCACGAGTTTAAAAGCAGAAATCAAGCATCCCACATTTTTGCTCACACTGTGGCATTCAGAGAACTTGCACAGAATGACAAGGTTTCCCTTCTCTCAAACAATAATGCAAAATGTGACATCTCAAAAATGAGAAAAATCCCAGCCGTTTTAACTGAGCTCCTTTTTTCTTTTCTCTGCGCATCCAAAAAAGCAGCCTGTGCTGCGCTGCATAAAGCATTTTCCTGGTGCCATGCGTGGATGGAGGTGGCGGAGTGTCACCCACTTGCTCTTTTGGTGAGCGCATTCCTCGACTGGCTGCAGAGGATGAAAAACGTTACCTTTCCATTTGTCTCTCTAGTGCTGCTGGGGCTGGACACGGGCATTACTTCAAGTGCAGCACATTTCAACTTGAGCCAGATTCAGTAGAAGGCAGGTACTGGGTGTGGTGGCACACACCTGTAACCCCAGCCCACAGGGAGCCTGCGGCAGGAGGAGCCCGAGCTGGAGACCAGACTAAGCAATTGGTTAGGACTTTGTCTCAAAATAAAATTTTATAAAAGGCTGAAGATGTAGCTGTGTTCCCTTGTTTCCGTCTCCAGATGCAAAAGAAAAAGGATAGGGGGAGCTTAGCACTGAGACCACCAGTTCACCCCTAGGTTCAAGTTCTGGATTACTGATTCAGTCATCTGCTCAGCATAGCTGCAGGCGGCTCATTCCACGTATTGAAGGGAGCTCCAATCCCTGTTTATGGATTCAAAACCTTGGATGAGCTGTGCTTAGGTTCTTTTGAAGCAACAAGACAGAAATTATGAAAAAAAAATCTGTATAACTACTTACATATATTTCACACAAATATTATTTTAAAGACAAATAGTCCGTTTTCTCCAGAGCTAACAAAGGTTCCTTGTGGGCTCAGCATTCTTCTGTCTGGCCTGAAGCCCCTCCCACCGTGACATTTAGCCACTTTACAAAGGAGCCCAACTGCTTATTAAAGGGGGTGAAAGAGCTGCTTTATACTTAGCTTACACTTTATAATTTTCAAACGGCTGTGGTTCAGGATCTCACTTTAGGATTTTGCTTACTTACATTTCTAGAGTTATTTTGCTGGTTAGTGGAAGAGTCTTGATCAGGATGCAGGGTTCTGTGTCTTCTTCCTGCCGTGTCCTGTGGTGCTGCTGCTCAGGTTGTCCCTGTGTGGCAGGGAAGAGGTAAACTCTTAGTGACAAGAAGGAGGAGGAGCAGGAGGAAGAGGAAAAAAAAGAAGAAGCAGAAAGAAGAAAAAGAGGAAGAGGAGGAGGAGGAGAAAGAAGAAGAGGAGAAAGAGGAAGAAGGAGGAGGCAGCCCTCTTAGTGCCTTCGTGGAAGAGGGCAAAATCTTGCTCTTTTCCTGAAGCATCAGTGTTTGAAAGCTGTGAGTCAGTGCGCAGGATACATAGATGAGCCTTTATTCTATATAATTGCTTTAACAGTTGAACATATTTAGGTCTGATGCTAACATCCTGTGCAGATTTACACCCTGAATTTTTTCTAATAAAGTGCTGAAACAAGTTTTATAATGAAGTAACCTTGATTGAAAATAGTATGTAAGTGTAGTATATTAATGTATGTCACTGTGCATTATACAATATATAACAGTTACATAAAAGCATGCCCATATTTGTGTCTATATATTTACATATATATAAATCTACATAAATAGATTAATATTTTAATCTATTAATATTAATATGTTAAAATATTAACCAATTTAATATTAATAGATTAATATTTTCATAAATATAAATCTATAAATTAAATCTTTATAGATTTAAATATATATCTATCAGAATTTTTCTAATTATTATTTTCTGAAGAATACAACTCTTTCCATACCACTTATGTTGTTTTAGGTGTTAGAAATTATCTAAAGAGCACTGAGTATACACAGGAATTTGTATGCAGGTTGCATGCAGATACTACAGAGGCACTCGGGCACCCTCAGCTATGATGATGTCAGAAAGTCCTGCAGTTGGCCCCCGTGGGGGACCACAGCACTGCATGTGACATTTAGATGTAAACATCCCTAATTTTTTCACACATGCATTTATCTGATGGGATGTTGGGTTCAGCTGAGAACTGTGATTTTGGTTGGTTAAAAGGTTCATCCAGTTATGAAAAATGCATTATTTTAAGAAAGACTCTGCTTTCAGCAGGAAGCTATAGTTAGCATAAGCATGCCCAGCTGCCAGGCCCTTGTCGGGGTGCGGTGATGGCCAGAGTGCCGCAGAGGACACTGAACAGTCTACTGTGTGGCATCTCTGTGTAATGCTGCATGGTCTTTTGCAAGCAGAAGAGGCCCAATTAGAAAAGGAAAAAAAAAAAAAAAGTGAAAGGCTATAAGGCAAAACCAGTTAATTTATTAAGAGAATGACCCTAAAACATATATTTTCTTGGGGCTGGCCCTGGGGCCCTGTGTCCTTAAAACCAATGAGACCTTGGCTGTGGCCCATCAGAAAGCCCTTTCTGTGAGTCAGGGACCATTCCTGTTGCCTATCCACTCAAATAGATTGTGTTTGGAAGTCTAGGACAAGCTGGCCTCCCTGGAGATCCCCGCCACACATGGGTCATTTTAATGCCCCAGAGGTGTCATGTAAATGCAGACAGATGACTCCATTAGCATCTGCCCTGTCCATGGGGCAGGGGGCTGCATGGTGTCTTGGAGATGTATGTTATGTTTTGGCTTCTTGGAGAACCAGTGGCTGAGCATAATTTTCAAGGGGCAGAAATGGAAGAGAAGGAAAAAAAATTTAAATGAGAAAAGGAAAGTCAAGAATCCCCCAAGGGGACTTCCCAAGAGATTGGGCCCCTGTTGTAAAGGGATGATTCTAAGCAAGGCTTTAAGCAAGTTCAGAGAAGCCAAGAAAAGGCTGAGTGTATAACCGCGATTAACAAAGCAATTTGCCAGTTGATTTTCTACAGGAGAATTTGAGTGTTAGAATCATCATCAAGAAACTAATTATTACACAGGTCTGGCACTCTGTGCCATTGTCTTTCATTCTTAATTTCCACTCTCCAGTTCCTAAGTTGATCTTGTGCTGAAAAGCTAAGTACCTCCCTTTCCTTCCCTTTCGGCTTTGCGTTCCATTCAGCTTGCATTAATCTTTGTACAAGTTGGTGATTATTTGAGATGTGCATGTGTAGGATTCACATCCAGTCTTCTTATAGAACTAGGGAAGCAGTTCATGGGTTGATCCCAAAGGGCCTTTCCAGAAAGTCACCTAGAAGGCCCAGGGGCAGACTTGGGTGTGTTTGGAGACTGCGCTTGAAGACCCTCCGCTGCCCCTTGCTCCAAGGGTTGCTCTGGCAGGACAGGTGCCTGACACACATTGGCCTAGCTTCACTGGTGACCCGAGTCCTCCTCCGTGTGCTCCTCCTCCACCTGGCTTCCACTGGAACTCACTGTGATCAGGTTCAGCGAGCATGTGACCCTCTGTTTATTTTAGGTTCTGTTCTACACAGACTCCTCGGGGTTCCTCAGGGCTGCATCTGCGCCCCACACTTTTAGAAGGCCGCTGTGCTGGCCTCCTGGTCTGGCGGCCCTGGTTACTAGCATTGATCGCTTTCCTTCTTTCTCCGAACTCAGCTCGGGGAAGCGGATCAGAGCAGACAGCTGCATCATCCTTAGGATGGCCCTGTTATTAGTACACACTCCTTCATCCCCCCTCTTAATCCAGTAATTCTGTGTCCTTTTGTTTCTCCTTTTCTCTGATTTTTTTTAACCAGCAGTCTCATTCACCGTGCCTCTCTAGTGTGTGTGCTTCTGTATCCTGGTTATCACCCCACTCCATCAGTCTCTGCTTCCCCATGGGCTGAGATGGTCCTCAGGGCTGCTCCAACCTCCGGTAGGGTATGCACCTTTTCTTCTTCTGGGAGATTAAGATAAACACCTACTAGGCTATCTTGATGGCTCCCTGCCGTATAATTGACTGGCGGCCTTCGCTTTCTCTTCTCCAGGCCTGCAGAGCTCAGCTTTGATCCTATCTTTTCAATCTGGGTGATTCTCGGGGAATAATTTCCACTGACGCTCTTATTCATGGTTAAGCAATTGCCTCTGGCGCATTTATACCTTGTGGCAGGCTCTGTCTGTAAAATTTTTTTTCTCAAAATGAGAAGAGTTCTTGTGTATCTTATCCTGCTTTTGAAAAAGTTCTAAATGGCAGCCGAAAACAAACAAAATATCCTCCCCTCTGCACTTTTTGTGATTTCTCACCCCTGACTTTATTTCCATGTCATTATCATGTCTGTGTCACCATGATGGCCGAGAGTACACGCCATCCTGTGTCCTGGAGGACACTTTCACGGATCTGCTGGCCGGCACAGACACCTGTTCCTCTCTTAACTTTAACCTTGAACTTGCAGACACCTAGGTCTCTGCCCCTGCAAGGGGTCCTGCTGCCCGTCCTTGGTCTTCTACCTGGGAAAGTTTAGCAGCGTGGTTCTTGGAGGTCTTTCGTTTATTCTGTTTCTCCTGAGTTATAAAAGCACCACAGGACAAAACAAAGCAGAGCAAGATTCTCCAGCTGGTACCTTCCTCAGATAGCCCACTTAAGTCACCATTTGTACTTATTTCTGAATTCTTCTGGTAGTTAACTTGGACTGAGCTGGGTGTTTGCCCTCCTGCTTCAGCAGTCACCAATGATCTGCTGCCATCGGCATCGAAGATGCTGTTAGGAGGAGAACTTACCCTTGAGATTTTATTTCTCATTTAGAAAGCAAGTGCTGACCTTGAGCGCTTTGCATTGTGAGAGCCTCGCTGTGCAGCAGGCTCGGTGCTGCCCATCAGCATTGCCCTTTAAGACTGGGTTTCCCAGAAGCTGGGAATATGGTGAACCAATAAGCAGCAAAATAAAGAGCCTCTGAGCAAAACAGCTCAGATGCTGGAATAAAGCATCCTGGAGAGGACCAGACGGAAGGAGATAGATTGTTTTCCACCCAGGAAGAAACTAAAGGGGAAAAAGAAAAGAAATAAAGATGACTGGTCTTCCCTAGAGGCCTGGAGGGCTGCTGTCCCATTGGATCCAGACTGACCACGTTTACTGCTTGTTACGCTTCAAACAAACCTAACATCGCGGGGCCTTGCTCTTAAAAATGAAGTCCAAATTGTAGACACTTTCACATGATGATCTTAGTGGAGAAGCATTTGCAACATTTTCAGGAAGTCCTGAGGAACTAACCAGATCCTGTCCATTTGCCCGGTTCTGGCTTTGTCTTTCCACACCTCACTTTGCCTCTGACCTCTGCATGTCCAGAGCTGGAGTTCTGAGAGTGGCCCCCACCGGCCCTCAGCACTCCACTCTCCCCATGCCCGACTTATCCCTGTTGAGTCATTCATTCGTGACCAACATGAGATACACTCACAACTTCATGAAGTGAAAACATTTCTTAGTTCCTGCCCAGCGCATTGAGAGCCAAGCACAAACTTGCTCCCCGGGCCCACCCAGCTTGTGCTTGGACTCTTCTGTGCTCAGTGGTGGCCCCATGCTTTGCCTGACCAAGATGTCTTGGTATGGTCCCCTCCTGGGCCAGGCTGTTTTTCCCTCCTTTGCTCCTGTGTGTATCCAGGAAGTCTCACTAAATCTCACCCTTTCTTTAAAGCGAGTCAAAATCAGAAGCATCAGCTCACCCCAGTGCCTTCCCTCACCTCTTCCCTTCCATTTCCCTTTGGAGCTGAGTAGTAAGTCCTTCCTCAGGGTCCCCTCGCTGTACATATGGACCGATGCATAATAAGTGGCATGGCCCTGAATCTTAATTTTTCTGTCTACATCTTGACTTCAGTCACTGTGCCTCTAAAGAGTAGCTCGTCATAAGTCTTGCTGCTGCAGAACTTTCTAGCACAGCTCATAGCCCATCACTGCAATGGTCATCTCTCCAGTCTTCTGTGAGTATTTTGCCATTATTCAGTGTTGAGCGTTGTCTTACATGTCTTGGAAAATCTTTCCTTGTATTAGTCCTTAAATTTCTATGTTTCAATCAACCATGAAAATTATCATAAATATTGCCTCTGTACCTAATGCTGTGTGAGCTCTTAAAAATGAAGTCCAAATTGTAGACACTTTCACATGATGATCTTAGTGGAGAAGCATTTGCAACATTTTCAGGAAGTCCTAAGGAACTTTGCCAGGGCACTGTTTCATGAGTGGTATCTAATTTGTTCGTTTTATTTATTTTCCTGATATCTGTCCAAGAAAATTGGAAGTTCACTCTGCACTTCTAAATGAACCCATGTTAAAAGAAGGCATATGGTTTGAGAATTTATCTGAATGTAAAGTTTTCTATATAGATATACTCTATTGGAGAAGTATACAGCACCAGAAAGTCAGTTTTAACATAATTAACAGTTAACATTATTATTTTTTTGGTCACTATCAGAGAGTTTCATTATTAATTTTTTAACAGCCAGACAAAATGTACTGAGACTCACCATGCCTCTTGGCTCAGGCCTTGTTAACCTACTTCTTGTGATTTGATTGTTTTCCAGGAGGAGTGTCAGAACTACATCCGGGTGCTGCTGGTGGGTGGTAACCGGTTATTCACCTGTGGGACCAACGCTTTCACACCCGTGTGCACCATCCGCTCGGTACGCTGCATTTTGAGCCTCAGCAGAATTTAACACAAGCCACACAATCTATTTAAATCCTAGTTTTACAAGCATCTCTGTATATCAAGGATTTGCTCTTTAATTTAGAACAACCTTTATAAAATCGAATCAACATTTGGTTTAATTCATCTCTAATCATTTTTATAAGGACCTGGAAATAATTTGAGCTTACATAATTCAATTTACATGTTTCTAAACTATTTCAATGGGCATTTTCCCAAGCAAGTCCAACCATTAATCACAAACATATTCTCGTACTGGGATTGGTGGAGTCACTGTTAAGTATTAAGATGGTACAAACTCACAGTCCAATGAAAGAAAATGCAACCTACAAATTGGATAAGAAGTGTGCCAAAAAAAAATACACCAAAAGAAATATAGCCCTAAACAAAGAGAAGCCATAGTGGATCCTCTTTTCTTTCACGTGTGGTCACAGACAGTGGAATTTTCAGCACACACATCCTACTGCAGTAGATGGCCAGGGTCACCAGGCTCCTGTCTGGTCTCCCTGACCCAGCATATTAATTTAATCTGCCTTGGGGAACGTAATGGGGAAATTGCCCTTATGTTAATTTCCTAGTAGTACAACTTGGCTCATAACCTGAATTTATCGTGTGTTGTTACTACTCACTGTTTCAGTCACTGGAAACAAAGGGAGGAGGAAGAGGAAGAGGAGAGGAGGAGGGGGGATGGGAGAGGGAAAGCGAGGGGGAGGGATGCCATTCCCACCTCCGGGGCTCACACCCTGTCTACCTCATGACAGCAGCGGAGTGCCTCAGTCCTCAGCACCTACCCATGAGGGCCTTCCTCGTAGGGATCCTTCTTTAATAGAAGGAAAATTTGAGACAGGAAGAGTTGAAGTCACTTCCTGGGCTCTGTGTCCAACAGCAAAGGAAACAGAGGGTCTGCATCCAGCACCTAACATTTGCTCAACCCACTGGCTACTGAAAGTCAGGAACCAAATTGATTGTGTCCAGCTCTGCCGTTCCCCACTGAGATTGTCTCATTGCCTGAGTGGTTGGGAACCCTGCAATTAGGAAGCTACATGCATCCAAGATGACCACTGGACACCCAACAGGCCCTGCTATCACTATCAGATACCTAGTCATTTGTTGCTGGCAAGCAAGCCGTCATATTTGCTAAAGACAAACACATCTTTGCTTTGTAAACAAATCCAGTGTCACTGGTTCAATTCTAATGATTGGAAGAGCACTGCATGACTCTTTAATGATAGGTGGGTCTCTCTCACCTGAAATTAAAGAAATGTGTATATATACATGGTGAGTGCAGTGCATTGTCTGAATGTGCACACATCCTCCCCACGGGCTCAGTAGTTAGAGCTGTTTATAATCTCCTGATTCACTTATACTGATAAAATTATATAATGATTTTATTATGCTTTATATATATCTATAAATACCAAACTTGAGTTAGTAGAGTGAAAAATGGGCAATAGTCATGCATTAGAAATGAAAGCCATATCCAGAGTGATCTGACTTCACCCTTTGTAAGGATTCAGTAGCACGAGACACACTGCGTCTTCAGGGGTCGGAGAGGCAGAGTGGCCAATGGATTCTCTAGCCATGAGGGCCACGGGCTGTTTTCATGAAGCCTGAGCCTAGAAGTTTATCATCTCTCTCATACCCTGGAGAGTTGCCGGCCTATGCTTTTCCCGTGATTGTGGGTGCTGTAACCCGCTGGTGCCTTCAGCGGGGCTTCCCACAGTTTAATCCTTGCTTTCTCCTCCACACCCACAGCTGAGTAACCTGACCGAGATCCACGATCAGATCAGTGGCATGGCCCGCTGTCCCTACAGTCCCCAGCACAATTCCACAGCCCTCCTCACAGCCAGTGGGGAGCTGTACGCGGCCACAGCCATGGACTTCCCGGGGCGAGATCCTGCGATTTACCGAAGCCTGGGCCTTTTGCCACCACTCCGCACTGCACAGTACAACTCCAAGTGGCTGAACGGTAAGCGCTGCGGTCACGCCCGGTGTCACGGCTCCTGTGTTGGTGACTGCTCACTATTTGTCACTGGTACCCAAAAAGCACACTTGTAAAGAAAAACAAAATCTTCATTTTCTTGAAAAAAAATTCAAAGTAACGGGTTGAGGATTAATGGTTGGAAAAGGGTCAAGTGGCCCTTGGGTGTCAGTGCGTGATCCTCCCAGTGCTGTGGACCGCAATAAGAGGACTTTTGCTGATATAAGCACTCATCAACTTGTTGGGGTTTTTTCCCATGTTACTGATTGAAATCTAGAAAATCCCACATTGCGTCTTAGGTGTGTGTGAACTCACGGACTTTCCTTCTTAACTTCTGTATTGTGTCTTTTGAAACAAGGTACTAGCAGTTCACAATGTTTTCAGACAGTATGTAAAAGAATGCATTCAGCTACAGATAACTCGGAAGAACTTGGCAATCCAAACACTTGTCTTTCTTGTCCTGCAGTGCGGGAAGGCACCTTGGGAACCGGATGGCTCTGTCTCAGAGCTGACACAGGTTTAGTGTTACCACTTCAGTGTGTCATCCACAGCCTGTTGGGTTGGTCCTCAAGCTGGCTGCCCTCAGCATGGGTACAGAATCACTGCTGGGCCTGAAAGCCTGCATCCAGATGTTGCAGTATCCTCTAAAAAAAAAAGTGGTGCACTGTTTTCTTAAGAAATGGTGTCTAATGGGAGGAATCCAGTTCTACTTCATTGGAACTCAGTTTGTGCTTCCTAAGTAGAAGCAGACAAAATCCTTTAGTTCTGGGTCAGAAACTGATCACCCACTCTTGAAGGAACAAGACCAGGCTTCTGGCCTTCTACGCTGAGGTTGGCTGAATACAAAATCTTGTGTGTGCTGGCTAGAACCTAGTCCTCCGGGTCTGTGTACACACAAGCATGTGCGAGTGGCCACACAAGGCTATGTCTGTATTTTCTGTGTTACCCATCGCCATAGTGTTTATTTGCAAATTTACATAAAGATACACTCTTCAGTTTGCTATTGCAGTATTTACTATTTTGATATTTGAAGATCTGTAAAGATTTATTTTTCCAGCACACGTTCACTAAGTAGGCCAGAGTTTCTCCCCTTCAGTGGTACTGCTGAGGGGGCCTGGTCACCACTCATTATGTGAGAAGCACTGTCCGTGTTGTATGTGCAGCATGTTAAGCAGAATCCCTGCCCTGTGCCAGTAAGAAGCTGGTAACACCAGCTGAAAAAAAAAGTTTCATGAATTTTTAAATATCCCCCAGGGAAAAAATGGCCATTAGTTGAGAGCTACTGGTTTTGACTTACTACTTATACATATTTATTTTTATGTGTATAAATACATAACATTTGGTTTTTGCCAGACAATATAACCAGCTAAAATGTCACAGTGTCCCTTTGAGAGACCTGCTTATAGTACACAGAATGTCCCACTCAGAAGGAGAGAGAGTGACTGTGCTTCCATGTGGGAGATTATGTATAATGATATTGGAAAGCTGCCCACAGTGTCTTCTGATTTAGAACTCCATCTATTATTTCTTCCCACAAAAGTCAATGATCGTAGGCACATCTCAATTAGGAAGCAGACTGTTGGGGATATAGTAAAACTACCATATATCTTTTTCCAGGACATTCATGTTGGTTATGGAGATCCCTTTCCCATCCTCGAAAGTGGTCTGGGAAGTTTGTGTTTGTAATCCCGTGGAGAAGTTACTGGAATTCTAGCGAGTTAACCCCAGTGTACCACTTTCAGTGCAACCCACAGCAAGAATAAAGACACTAAGATGCATTTATAGTTGTGGGGGACCATGGGGTCCTTAGGTCTGGCTAGGATGAAGAACAAAGGATCAGAGCAGAGACCTCTCTCTATCCAGGGCCTGCCTCTGATTTTATTAATTCATGAAGAAGGGAGGGCTGAGGATGAGTGACTGTGTGAATGGCAGGAGATACCTGAGTACCGTGAGCTGAGCTGGGGAGGAGGCCTGCACACACCCCTGCACTATGCAGAGAGAAGGATATGCAGGAAGACCAAGCTGCACAGCACAGCTGAGGCAGCATTCAATGTATAGGGGGCCTGCGCTTCAGCTCTGAGGTGCAAACTTTTCTGCCCTGGGAAGTTGTAGCCTCTTTATCTCATCTCGAGGCTGGAACCCAGTTGACAGCCCTGGAGCAGAGATTCTGCATCTGCTAGCTCAACTATGTTTAGAGAGTCACAGGGCAGGAAGACATTGACTGTCACCTGGCTTCAGAGATTAAGCAACAACACCTCAGCCAGCCCTATTCACACTGCTCAGAGCCAGTTGAAGGGAAACAGAGATTGCCTAGCCAGTTCTGCACACATCAGTACGTAGAGACAGGGCCAGGCCTTGCCAAAATAGAAATAATTGTTCTGTATTCAAGGAGAGTAGTTCAGCTGGTCCTCCACAGCTGGAGAAATGAGGCATTGACAAATGTATTAAGAGTTCTCTGGAGGAACAGAGTCGATATACAGTACCCCCTCACGAAGTCAGAATTTGGAGTTTGAGGCTTCAGTTGTTCATGGATTTTTTTCCTTAGAACCTAATTAATTGTTCATGAAAATGCTACAGTTTCAAGGCCACTAAATATACTGTGCAGGGTTTTTGCTTGTTACTTTGTTTGTTTTCTAAGTGGGAGATTTGCAAGAAGCCAATCAAGTGGATTACTCAGTTGTCTTTTGAATTGTGTCCTTAAGGAAGTAGCAACTGGATTCCTCCCAGTTGTGTCACTTTGCTGAACTGATTTCAACTGAACCCGTGAACTCAATGGATGATCCCCTGTTGGCTACAGGGCTTTATTCTGTATGCCTTAAAGTTATTCTACTTACTGTCAGTCTTTATAGTCCAAAGTGTCCCATGGCGGGGAAAAGAAACTCAGCCTCACTACCTGCTAAAAGGGCTTTGCCATAAGCAAAATCATGAGCGTGGTTTTTTTTTTGGTTTTTTTTTGTTTGTTTTTTTTTTTTTTTTTTTTTTTTTTTTTTTTTTTTCAAAAGTAACACCTTAAGGATGTCCTATCAAACACTTCAGGCTCTTTTCTCACATGGGGCGGAATCCTTTCCATTTTGGGGCCTGGTGGTGTCCATGGGTAGGGGAATAAACCAGTGCAGCACTTAACTTGGTCATGGTGAGCATAACGATGTTATCGTATTATTCACTGTGGGATGCTGTTCATGTGAGATACTAGTGCAACTGCAGACATTGAAAGTAATTCCAGAGTAAGTGCGGCAGACCGGCCTTCAGACCTTTGTGCCGGCACCATTTGCATTCTGCTGAACTGCCTGTGTGTCTCAGAAGAGCAGGCACACCTCTGCCCTCCCTGGGCTGCTCTGGGAAGACCTGCACACCTAGGGGACAGAAAACCCAGCGGAAGGGTTTCAAGGACTTGCCTGGGAGGGCATCTGGCTCCTCTCGCCTGTTTTCGTTGGGATTCTTCATTCTCCTGCTAACACCTGTGATGCCATTTCCTCTACTGCTGTTCCTGGTGTATTTATCTTCCATTCAGGATGAATTCTGGCCTCTGGCCACTTAACCATAAAATTTCAGTGTACACTTTTCAACTCCAACAGGTTTTATGATTCAACTCTGCGTGATATTTGTACCCTTGCACATCTCAGATCCTTCTGCCACCATGTTTCTGTTTTGGTGGCAGCTGACTATGGACCAAATCCTCTGTAACTATGAATCAAATTAACTATTACTTCCATAAAATTGTGAATGTTACCTCTTAGTTTCCAGCAGAGAGAAAGTGGACTAATATAGAAAACAACTGTTACCAAAGAAGTGGGGTCCTTTCTGTGTCTTTACTTGACAGGTGTTTTAGAAGCATTGGGAACAGGTCTGTGGCAGGGACTTGGAAATATTCTGGGATGTGGATTAGGGAAGCTGTTGAGTGCTGGGTAAGCAGAGCCTGACAGATGCCTCTGATGGGAGCACAGCAGATCGGAGTGCCAACAGGCATGCGGACAGTAAAACCCGGCTCAAGCGGTTTCAGCTGGGAGCAAGAACTTCCCTGGGAATTGTATCAGCATCCATGTGTGTTACACTCTGGCCAAACAAACAGACAAACGAACAAAATTTTCTGTAGTTTGCCCCTGTCCTGAGACTGTGAGAAACTAGGATTAAGGGCAGTGAACTAATTGATCTAGCAGAGGATTTCAAGGTTGTTCAGGCTGTGGTGTGGGTACTGCTGAGTGCTTTAAGCCAGGTTTATATTGAGAAACAGAAAAGAAAACTTAGAAGAAAATTCTGAAAAATTTAAATTTTGGCTGCAAAAGCCACGTGTAAAACTGGTGCAATAGGAGATGTGGTCCGTAAAGTGATTAGTGTCACAAATAAAATCCAAGGACTTTGTACAGGCAGAGGAAGAAAGATTTTTTTTTCTTTTTTTAAAAAAGGAATTCTTTGAAGGCATCTCAGGAATCAGCAACCGATGGCAGGTTCAAGGGTACACACATGTGAACCTTGCATTTGCAAAGAAAGTCACTGTCACCCAGCTCCAGAAGAGCATCCTTGGGACTCATTTCTTTGTGCTCAATGTCATTAAAGAGAAGCTGGTTTCATGGACTTCAGAATGCAGGAGTTATGGGATCCGGAACTTCCACACAGACTTCAAAGAAGACTTTCAAGAACAGACAAGGAGCCCCTGAGAGCACAGTGCGTGAATTGTGGACATGAAGCCAAAGGTGAAGTAGAGACCCAGGAAACCAGAAAGGTCAGAGATTTGAAATGGGGCCTGAGGAAAACTATGGGCCATTGGTGAAACCATCTCAAGAGAGAAGCTTTATGGACTGTACCCAGTAAAGCCATGGGGGGGGGGGGCACTGCCTAGGCCCTCTGGAACTAATATCCCAGGTGCATGACCCAGGTGCTGGATAGTGACCCAGGTGCTGGATAGTGATGTACTCAACTTAGTGTTTGCCCTGCTGGGTTTGGTCTTGATTTGGTCTGATTCTTCTCTATCCCTTACCTCTCCTTTTTAG